AAATAGGTTTTGAATGCTTCAGAATGGAAGATTTAAAACGAAATTGAATGTTATTTCGACGAAATCCATTTTGCCGGGCATTTGCGATTGTGCGCTGATGGATATAATTATGGGTTGGCATCTATGAGGATCTGCAAGGCTAGGGTCAGATTAAGCTCCTCCTTCCAGTTGATGCAGGTGGTCTCTCAGATGGCTTTGTAAATGGATATGGCTTCTAGCCATTTAAGATGGTCCTGGTGAGGTGTGCTGACCATGATTTCGGCCTTGTCAAACTCCGCCTCGATGTGTGGATCAGTTGCATACACGGCAAGGGCAGTAGTGTGCTGTCCATGTTGAATGTATGCTCGGTGTTCTCTTACACGGGTACTTAAGGAGCATTTGGTAGAACCAATATATAACAAGTCCTTGCCCCAACTGTTGTCCTTAAGTGGGATGGAGTTTATATCAGAAAGTATGGTATGATCCGGAGGGTCTTTTTTATTTCAGAAGATGTTGAAGATTGTCGGACATATCCTGTATGCTATCCGCAGTTGATGTTTATTGGCAATCCCTGCATAAAAATTTCAAACTATCTTTGCAATAGTTCAAAAACATTCGTCATCCATTGTATTTTTTACATGTAACACACTGGTAACAAGTTACAGAAGTGAGTGGGCATGATTTTGTACTTCCACTCTGAAGCTTAATAACTATTGTGCCTTTTTTCAAAAATTTTTGAAATTTTGCAGGGATGTTTGTATATTAGGGAGATTGATGCTATTAAATTTTGCTGGTTAAAATCAAGGAGTGAGGAAATAGAAGGGGTCGTGTTATATCTCAAGTTTGTTATATCACTTTCTGTCATCAGGACACCTAAAAAAATAGACAAGACTTAATGAAGATTTTATTTGTTATTAGCATTTACAACTTTTTATAAAAGTCAAAATTAAGCTTTTTGCTATTTTATAATAATTAATAATATAAAAACTTTTTGAAATAAAATCTCATAATAGCACTGCATACAATTTTTAACTCTCACAGGGAAAGTTATGCAACTTTTTTGATGGATTTATTTTAGCAAGCCTCATTTTTGTTAAATTCAAATAAATTGGATTTTGAATTTTAGCTTTAGTTTGGTGTTAATCTTAAACATTGATTAGCTCGATCTTTACATTCGAATTTTAGATTGGTGAGCATTTTCAACTGTACTGAAAAATGTCTTGCTGTATTATTTAATTAATAAGTATCTTTTCTTTAAATACCCTTTATTCTTAAATGTGATAAAAATCATTGCACTTTCATTTTTTATTTAAGTTACATAGAATAAGGAAGATATAATTCATGATTGTTGAATAAAATGTATAATTGCAACTCTAAAATAACAATTCTTAAAGAAATTTTATTCCCATATAATTGATAATCTAGAGTTTAAATTTGCATAAGCTTATATTAAAATAAAATTATTTATCATTTGAAATTTAAAGAATCTTGTCAATGTCTTAGAAAAGTTATGTTAAGATAAACTTTCTTTTTTAATTTTGAGCTAATATTATTTTATATTTTAAAGATGTTCATAGTTTTATATTATTATGATATCTGTTACTTATGTTAAAGTTTGAATTGCCTTTTTTCCCTTTAAGATTTATAGCTATATTCATGTAGTAACCCATTAGAATCCTTAATTAAAAAACTATTTATTATACATCCCTGTATGTTTCTATATATAAATTATTGAAATTTTCAAATTATAAATATGATTACAAATGTGTTTTTTTTCCTTTCTTTAAAATTATGTATAATCTGGAATTTATAAAAAATAAAATCTAAGTAATGAAAATTCTGAATAACTATTTTATTAATTTGTGACATTGTTAAATATGAAAATTATAATGGAGTTATTCCAGTGCAAATGTTACAAAATTGTTGGTTATTCAGAGTTTACAAATAAAAAAGGTAACTAATTACATTTACAACTTTCATATTCCAGAAATATGAAATTTAAATTCGTATGATATAGTTCCTTATCACATTCAATCAATTCTGTTGTGTTAAGGAATTAATTTTAGTTCTGTGCTTTGGCAATGGTTCTACAGGGTGATTCATTTGGAACTTAACATTTATGTGGAATATCTCCACATGAAACATGAATGGAACAATTTTTTATTTCGTGGTGTTTTGGACAATCAGGGTATGTTTTACATTGCACAGTCACATTTGAATAACATAACTTGTAATCATGAATGAATCATCCTGTAGTTTACTAGACCAGTGTTCCGCAACCCTTTTCTACTCGCGGCACACCTGTGACCCGAAATGACTCAACACGGCACACCAAAATGTTATGCCCCTCAAAAACATATGATATGATACTACAGGTAGCCCTCGGTTTACGCCGCAGTTCCGTTCCTACAAAAGCTGGCGCAAATCGAATTGGCGTAAAACGAACCCATATTTACACTGAGGTATAGGGTTAGGTTCCACATAAGTGAAAAATATGCAAATAATTTTGTTTATTAATACAATATAATACAAAGTACAATAAATTTAATTTTTAAAATGTATTTTATCATAAAATAAAGTTAAATGTTTTTATTAAAAATTTTAGTTTCGGATCTCTTACATTTTTCGGAAAAAGTATCCATCTTTAATTGTTTACATTTTTGTTTTCTTTCATTGAGAATTTTGGAATATGATTGAATGGATACGATGATGCTCCTTTTTACATTCGTACTTCGCTCCCAATCATTGTCTAACTCACAAACTTCAACCGTCAAACTTTCCATAGTTGAAAGGATACGTTAACCTGACGTAGAGCTACGGACGAGCGGAGACACTGATTGGTCGACCACCGGTCGCCGTAGCGCATATGTAAGGTCAGTTTGAGCGGGAAAATTAAGGAGAGGTAGATATCGTCTGGCCAACGAGAAGTAGATTTGTCTCACTAACGATAGTTTGTGATCGCCGGAAGTGCTACCGCGTTGTAAGGTGTTTTCCTGAACAAACTGATATGGGATAAATTCAATGGCACTATGGATTCGGACGCCATTTATTGGACTATTAAGTTTGATAACTTGACTCGTGGGTATCTAAACGTTTAGTATTTTAATATTAATTTAATGCAAATATATACATACCTAATAATATTAAACAGAAAAAATAAATATATTCAATTAAATCTTTGTTTTAACGAATGTACATAGTCGCGGCTCGGTAAATACATCAACATTGAAATGAAAATCAGTCTAGCATAGGGAAAATCGGGGAATTACACAGCAAAATCGCGAATTGTGCAGCGGCGTTATTGTGAATCAGCGTAAATTGAACCGACATAAACTGAGGGCTACCTGTATTAGTGGAATTTTGTTATGCCATAAACCTATTATTATTATGTTGAGTTTCATGAGTTATACTCAGTTGACACCGATGGCTGTGTACTATGCCGGACCAGAGTTAAGGCATAGTAACCGAAACAAGACAAAAATTAAATAAGTGTGTCAGTGTGTGTGTGTGTGTGTGTGTGTGTGTGTGTGTGTATTCAGGAATATCCTAACAATATGACATGCATTCAATATAGTGGCCTTCTGTAATGTGATGTGTGTTTCTATTCAATTTTAATGTTCCCAGGCTTTTGTGTAGCGTGTGTGGTATGACACCTTTAAAGGAGAGAACGACAAGTACAATAAGCACCCTATCCATCCTCCGTAGATGCTTTATTTCCTGGGTGAGTTCTGTGTACTTGCTGATTTTTTCACTGCATGTGTTTTGTACATTGTGAGTGTTTGGAATGGCTAGGTCTATAATGTATGTGATTTTATTGTGTTTGTCAATGAGTGTGATGTCTGGTCTGCTGTGGTACATTATTTTATCTGTGATTATGGCTCTGTCATAGTACATTTTATGCGTGTTGTTTTCCAATACTGTCTGTTGAATGTATTTGTAGTATGGTTCATGGATGTCTAATAATTTGTGTTTCTCTGCAAGCTCTTGATGTATTTGCTATTTGATTATGTCTATGTAAATTATCTGTCTGTGCCAAGAGCTTGCAACCAGATGTGATGTGTTGTATAATTTCTGGCATGATGTGACATTTTCTGCATGTGTCATTTGTGAATGTTGTATCTTTGAGTATGTGTTTTCTGTAGTTTTTAGTATTTATGACCTGATCCTGTATGGCAATCATGAATCCTTCCGTCTCCCCAAAGAGGCATCCCCGATCTAACCAGCTGTTTGATGCAGTTTTTTCAACAAAATCCTGGGCCAGGTCATAAGGATGCCTACCATGGAGTGCCTTTTGAGCCCACGATTGCTTGATGGTGTCTATGCTTTTTATATGTTGTGTCAAGTCTGTATGATGTGAGTGTAAGTTCAATGGTGTGTTATTTGAGTCTGCTAGAGCTTATGTAATTGTGATGTTTCTTGTTTCTTGTAGAAAAACTCTTGTAGTGAAGGTTAACTATGTCAATCAGGCCATGTTTGCCATTTTTAGGTGAAAGGGTTAATCTTTCTATGGCAGATTTAGGATGATGTTCATGCTTAGTGAGTGTTGTTCTTGTTTTCATTTGGAGTTGCTTAAGATCTGTGTGAGTCCAATATATAACTCCAAAAGAATAAGTGAGTACTGGGACGACATATGTGTTTTAATGCTTTAACATCATCTTATTTCATTAGTGAATGAAATAGAAGCATAAGAAACACAACAACTGTGATAAAAATATATAAATAAAGCCTGAAATTAATAGAATCATGTAAAAGTTCACATCACACCTTTCACCTTGTGACGGCACACCGGTTGCAGAACACTGCACTAGACTATAACTTTAACAAGGTTATCATTTGGAGGTACTTTGAAGTTACTATGTTTAATGATGATGCATTTAATTTTAACTAAAACATTTAAATTTACATACTTGTTTTAAAGAATATATATTTTGGAAATTGAAGAAAAATACTTTTTAAAGCATTACACATTTTAATGATATTTTTCTTAAATAAAATACTCATATTTATGATTATTTTTATAGTTGGTATTTTGGACCAATGACCAGACAAGAAGCAACAGATCTTTTAATGGCAGAAAAAGAGGCAGGTGTATTTCTTGTACGGAATAGTACAACCATACAAGGAGATTTGGTTTTATGTGTTAGGTATAGAACTATTTAGTTTATTCTAATAATTTAAATATTTATAATTTTAAACAAACTCAATTGTTTTAATTATTAGAATAATAACTGAAATATTAAGAAGTAATTTTACTTTCCTGGCTATTATGTATACATAACAAGGGAAAGTATTGGAATTGTGTCACATTTGATCCTCCAAGTTTTTTTGCAAATCTCCACATTTTGAGATTTCCTGAACCCAAAAAAGTAAAAAAAAGGCATAAAAATTTTGTGTGTGTGTTGGCATCTATTTCACTTAATACCTCAGGATGGGGTGAAGATTAAGAAATGAAATTTGGCATGGTAGCTTGTGTGTGAAAGCCATCAATGCTATTAAATTTTTGTTGGAAATGGAGGGGTTATATTTCAAAGGTAGAACTTAATGAAGATTTTATATGTTGTTAGCATTTACAATTTTTTATGAAATCGATCGTTACCCTCAAAATTAAGCATTTTGTTATAAAAACTTTCTATATTTTTAGTTATTGGGCTGCAATTTGAAAAAATTGTAGACCTATAAATTCCCACTGTTGTTCATCTGTTGTCTTTCCTTAATCTCAAGAATGGAGTCAGATGAAAGCTGAGACCAGATATGGAAAGCTTAAGGACGGGAGGCCCCAATTAAGTATATATGACCTTCTGATGCAAACCTGAACTCACATTATTTTAATTAAAAATTTTCCTCTGAAAAAAGTTAGATGACAGACACTAACTCTATTGTTAACAGGGAAAGTATGATGTATAGGGGTAAAACACTACTAATTTGAGGTGGAGAGCATATATTTTAAATTAAAAACTTATTAAAAATATGGTTATCACAATGCCAGGCTGCAATTTTTAATGTCACAATAAATAATTGCTTGTTATTAAATGACAAAAGCAGCAAACACAGTAATCTGGAGGTGGGACTACATGCCTTGAATGAAGATTTTATTCTCATATCTGAAAAGGGAGGCGAAACAAACATATTGGACTTCCAAGCTCTCTATCTGTCCATTAAACTGCTACCTTGTTTTTATGAGATCAGGGACTTCCTTCTCACCACTGTGAAGAATGCCTGCAAATATCATTAAAAGTATTTTAGAGCTTGTTTACCTTATTTGTTGTTTTCCCTTTTTTAGCTATTACAATAAGATCATCTTCAAGGCAGGGATATACCTATGGGAGTTCCACCTCTGGATTACTGTGTGAGCTTGCTATTTGTTGCTTGGAAAAGGTGGTTTTACCAGAATTCCAACATCTTATTTTGATATATATGAGATATGTCAGCAATATCTTTATCATTAAATAGAACGTGCTCAGCAAAATATTAAGCAATAACCAAACACCTTTATTGTTGCCGAGAAAGTTTATACATTACCAGTATATTATTATTATTATTATTATTTTAATCCATTGTCAGTTTTTTTGAAATTTAAATATTTGTATTTGATCTTGTGGAACGAAATCTTCCAATTGTCTGTTTTCAACCTGATGATGGTCTATGGAATAGGTCGAAAATGTTTGTTTTAAATAAACTTTCTCTGCAACGATAAAGGTGTTTGGTTATTGTTTAATATCTTTTTCTTTATGGCTTAAGAAATCCAACCTGCAACTATTTCTCTAAAGGATTAATTTCAATCCCTATGGTCTTCTATAATTGGAACAAGAAAGCACAACTTCAGTACATTTCTTGGATGTTTCCATTACTTGTAAGAACGATGAAATCCATACCAATATGTTATAAGCCAATGTATCAATCAAGTTTTGTACCTTACAACTCTGTTGACCCATAACACACAAAACTTTCTGCATTCAGGTTATTAATTAGATCATTCATACATTGTACAAGTATAGTAGACTATTAGCNTAATCTATTCACGTTTGATAAAATGTGTACACAACATCATTGAATTTTTTGGCTTGTATATTTTCTGATTTTTCTAATGCTAAGACCACTTTTCTAATAACAATAGGAAGAAACCCTTCATTTTTTCTTTCAACTAACTTTAGCTTTAATTAACAAGTGTATCATCCACCAACTAGAGAGTTTAAAAACTATCACAAAAATCCCCATAAGAGTGTCCACCCCCTGGTACTGTCAGTGGGCCGTTTGGTTGGAGATACACTGCACTACTGCGCTCTATGTAGTAATGCAACACAGATCGTGATGGCGTACACAAAACTAACTTGTTCAATATATTATTAAAAAATTTTTTTAAAACTTTGCATCAACTTTACAAAATAAAGGACAAAATGTCTATTTTAGAAAATAAATAAAGCTAAAGGAGAGAGCAGTGAAATAAAGGACTGTTCTCTTAAATAAAGGACGTATGGTCACTGTACCTATGACGCTCTTGTCTGTCCGCTAGGACTGTCAAGAATTAACACGATTGGTGAAACGTAGTGACAGCGGTCCAATAGAGAGCAGGGTCCTTGTCATAATGCGGTTTGCTCACCAATTTTCGTACGTGCGTTAATCGAGCCGAATATTCGGTATTCGGCCTGAGGCTGAATATACTATTCGTTGCAACACTAATATTCAACAATAAAACTTTGTTTTAATATTCTCTAGCTCCCATTAAAGTTTGTACAGAGTTTCAAATCACCCTGTATACATATCAAATANAATTTTTTTTTAAACTTTGCGTCAACTTTACAAAATAAAGGACAAAATGCCTATTTTAGAAAATAAATAAAGCTAAAGGAGAGAGCAGTGAAATAAAGGACTGTCCTCTTAAATAAAGGACGTATGGTCACTGTACCTATGACGCTCTTGTCTGTCCGCTAGGACTGTCAAGAATTAACACAATTGGTGAAACGTAGTGACAGCGGTCCAATAGAGAGCAGGGTCCTTGTCATAATGCGGTTTGCTCACCAATTTTTGTACGTGCGTTAATCGAGCCGAATATTCGGCTATTCGGCCAAGCTCTTGGCCGAATATTCGGTATTCGGCCTGAGGCAGAATATACTATTCGTTGCAACACTAATATTCAACAATAAAACTTTGTTTTAATATTCTCTAGCTCCCATTAAAGTTTGTACAGAGTTTCAAATCACCCTGTATACATATCAAATATGCTGGTATATATTGGCCTGGCATAAAGGTCTAAACTAGAATTTTGAGCTAAAAATCACAAGTTTATACAAATGCATTGTATAAGTTGACTTCTTATCATATGTCCTATTCCATTGGTCCCCAACCCCCAGGCCACGGACCAGTACTGGTCCGTGGATCAAATGGTACTGGGCCGCCCAAGGAACATTAAATTACTGGTATTTCCATTTTATTTACTATGGTGTATTTCTCTCGGGTTTGTGCAACTTTTAATGGGTGATGGAACAACGGAATAAACTGGACCTAAGAAACACACTTCGGGTGTCATTGTCTCCTATTACCCCCAGATGGAACTGTCTTGTTGCAAAGAAATAAGCTCAGGGTTCTCATTGATTTAGCGTTCTAGTGAGTTAAAATGTTAAATCACAGTATATTCATTTTTTGGTGTAACTATATTTTATTTTGAAGGCATATTTAAATACAATTAAATTAAAATTATTAAATTAAATCAATTTAAAATATAAACAATCAACGTCCCCCCTCAGTGGGCAGTGGTAAAATATCAAACATTGACCGGTCCACAGCGATAAAAAGGTTGGGGACTGCTGTCCTATTCTAATCTATTGGAGAACACGATATACACAACTGGAAGAAATGAAATGTAAAATATAGTGTATGATAATCTAAGGTGAAAGCATAGCACAATAAGACCATACCATTTTCATTGCGACACTAACCATAATATCTTTCAATAATACTTATATCACATTTAAAAAGTAATAATAATCCAGGACACTAAAGTTCATTAAAAATATGAATGTAGACTAACAAAAATTGCATCTTCACTTGTCCTTTTTCACACTATTAACTAATCTATAATATATTGAGGTTCAACCTTTTATTTGATGCTATGACTTCAGTAAATTATGTAAAAGATAAAATATCCACTGGTGATTTGGTAATATCATTAAAGTAAATAAAATTGCATTTGAAAAAAAGATTAGTTAGATTCAGTGTATTTTACATTTGTTCCTGGTTTAAAAAAGGGCAAGTGAAGATACCATTTTGGGTAGTCTACATTCATGTATTTAATGAACTTATATTTTATAGTTCATACAAAAAGGGATGAGAAAAACATTCTCTCAAATCCTATTTTACAAAATTCATGCTTAAAAGTAAAGACTTTTGGGATCAAAGCAAACATTTTCAATAAAATACTAGTACAGTAGACCCCCCTATAAAACGGGTTCATATAATACAGATTTGTATAACACGGCAAAAAAATTGCGATTGTATTCATATAAACACGTTAAAAGAAACTCATATAATATGGTAAAACGTCATCGCTGACTCGTGTTGTGACAGGATTGGTCAAATCTAGACCAATAGTGGATATTGCACAAACCATTGAGTTTAAACGAGCACTGGACCTACTAAAAAACATTTATTATTCAACGGCCATAAAAATTATATACAGTCGACCCCCCTATAACGTACGTTCCTATAACGTAGCGAAAAAATTGTAGAAACTTTCGTATGACGTACCTCCTATAACGTCGTTTCGCGAGAAGATTGATAGAGTCTGGACCAATAGTGGATGAGCAGCCGAACTACTTACCTCCGACCCTGCGCCACGCTACGGAGCGGCTAAATTGAGTTTGCTATCGTCTGTTTAGTATTATATATAAATTATATATAAATTAGGTACTGTACATATAATTATATATTAATTATATATAAATTAGGTACTGTATATATAATTATATATTAACTTAATTTATTGTAACTTTATTATAATTATATATATGCTTTCTGCCGCCTGGCAACACGCTACGGAGATTTTAGGCTAGTAAGTTGAGTTTATTATCGTCTGTACAGTATGTAAATTAGGTACCGTAAGTCTAATACAGCACTAATTTTATACATTTCTTGTGAAAGAAACACTTCT